TGTAAACCTAGTCTAAACCTTGATTTAAACGGCAAGATCCAGACCACAGGCCAGCACCACAGGAGGGGGGGAAGGTACGAACCCTCTACAAATACAATAAACTTTCTTTTAACCTTTCTTTGAGCCACAGGACAAGACCCAGACCACAGGCCACAGGCCACAGGGGGGGGAGGGGAACTTCTCTAAACCGTAGTTTAAACCACAGAACATAACCCTGACCACAGGCCACAGCGGGGGGGTGGGGGGGATACCATGGGGGTGGGGGGGTGGGGGGGGGTGGTGTATGCTGGCGCATATATAGGTACTTAGGATCCTTTCGGCAAGGTATGCTTGGTATGCTTGACTGGTAGCAGAAAAGCCGCGTTAGCATCAGGTGATGTTTTCGTTATAGTTATATGCCTGCCTATAGGGTTCAGGGTTTAGGTTGTTTAGGGTTTAGGGTAGAATCGAGGGGTCTAAGTACGTAAGCCCAGAAAGGGATGAACAGGGTCTTTTGTAATGCCCTCCCCTTGGAAACAAGCCTTCCGGCCTCTAGTACTGAATATCTTCCCCATTGTATAATAAGGGTGTTATATTGGTGGCCAACTAACGGGCGTAAAATTTACATCTCAACCTAGTGGGGCTTTTAGCTAAACAAGGGCCTCAGGCCCTACACCCTAAACTGTAAACCCTCCCTAAAAGGAACTCCTCCCGAAATCCTAAACCCTCCCTAAACCATAAGGACAGGTTCAGGAAAGTTTAGGATGATTGGGCGTTCAGACCCCCTATGATTGTTGGCCCTAAGCCCGAAACCCTAACCTTGAAGCGATTCAATGAAGACATGAGCATCCCCAGGTACCAGGCCTCAATGTCAGACAATGCCGCCGAAGCAGGTGGAATCAAGATCGTGCGGGCCTTGCTACAGCAGCCGAGGTGGGCAGGTTTATGTAGAAGTGGTACTAATCGTAATGATTATTAATGGCGAAAATAGCACGAGTACTAGTACGAGTAGTCATAGTACTCCTACTGCTAGTACTTAGTAATAGTAGTGGTGGTAGTAGTAGTCGTCGTCGTCGAAGTAGTAGTAGTAGTAGTAGTAGTAGCAGCAGCAGCAGCAGTAGCAGTACTAGTACTAGTAGATGTAACGAATATAAACAACGCTAACGATGTTTAAGCTCTGTTTGGGGTTTGAGGATAGTGCGGGATGTTTTAGGGTCAAGCGTCAAAAGGGTTGGTGCAGAGTTTCATAAAGCAAGGGTTTAGTGTTAGGGGTAGGGTTCAGGGGTTATGGGTGAGGGATACGGGGCTTTGGAGTTCAGGGCTTGAGGGAAGATTTTATTTGGCTTAGCTTTTTTGGAGGTGCATCGGTGGAACTTGTCATAGATGCCCAGGGGGGTAATGTGGAGACAGTGTACTACTCACAATGATATAAACGCAAAGCCCATGCATGGATAAGTTACAAAGTCAATGCGCAGGTGGGCGTTGCGCTGGGTCAAACACTGAGCAACCAAGCCCTGCCAAACCTGCCGGTCAAAACGCTGCTGGTGCTTAAATAGGGGTATATTGGGTTTTTTTTAGGGAATATGGGAAAGGAAAGGGAAACTACGAATTAGGGTGTAGGGTTTAGGGTATATTTGGCGGGTAATTTTGAGCTCCGTATTGGGGCCCCTAAGTGGGGATTCCGTACTCTGCTGGGTACAAGGCAGGGCGCTTCTTTTACTCGATGCCTATTTGTGTATGCCTCATCCTGCTAGGAAAATAGATGCCCTTCGAGTCCTAGGACCACAAACAGGTTCTATTAAGTTTATTCATGATGTGCTTAAGCATTTATCCTGTATGGTTTAGGGGCCCCTTGCCATGCATCATGTACAGTCGGCTTGCCGAACCTCATGTAAAAAAAACTATCTACCCAGTAGCCCTAAACCCACCGCACGAACCCTCCCTAAACCCCGAAGTATTAACCCTAAACCCTACATAATCCCTACGTTGCTCCTAGATAGTTCCTTTCCGCTAAAAAACCCCAAAGCACTTGAGGCTGGGCAGGCTCTTGGCGCAGCCTGGAGCCCTGAACAGCCAAGATTTCGAAGAAGCCGTGGCCGTTGCGATGGCGAAGGTTGATGACATGGACGGGAAGGCAGGGCTTATCCAAATGAACCATGTTACTATTAGCCTGGATTCTGAAACATGTGTTCAAGTTGCGAAACCTACGTGAGAAACTTTGAATCCACAATGGCAGGATTGCATCAGAGTTTTGGGGGCCTTGATGCACATACCCAGCGCTGCCCGCCCGGATGCGACCTCGTTGCAAGCCCTGGGAGGGCGGCGACTTGGAGACAATGGACAACAAAATGGAAACTACTATAGTATATGCGGGTTATATTGGGATAATGGAACAGAAAATGAAAACTACTAAAATATATGGCGTTGTATTGGGATAATGTATATGGGGGTTACATTGGCAAAATGGAAACTACTATAGTATGGTGGTTATATTGGGATAACGGAAATGAAAATGGAAGCTACTATACGAGGTGTCATCGCTCCTCTACACAAGCCCCGATAGGCAATGAACATGTTTTTTTGTACGTAAGGGTGACCGAAGGCTATCCGCCGGCTTAGCAGACATCTCCAACAACGACATGGCAGACCTGGCAGAGAACCTGGCAGAGGTCTTCAATCCAGGGATGCCAAATCACCTGCGCCCCATTTAGGGCATCTTCTTACAAAGTCTTAAGACCGTAGGAGCCCTATAGTAGGGTGCAATAGGATGCAATAGGTGTGTAGACTGGTAGACAGCACATACCTGCTTCTTGCAGAGCTCCAACAATTTGTTGTGTGCCTCGCGCTGCCTCGAATGAAGACTCCCCGCATGAAAGACCACTCAACATAGCCATAGAACAGAGTTCCTGCAATCCGTCAATGCTTTTCTAGTTTCCTTGATGCTATATTTCGAGACCCTAAACCTGATGAGCCCTGAGCCCTGAGGTTTCTGTCCCTGTGGCCCCAGTCTTTGCGCGCCTCAGTGCGGCCTTCAGCCTGCGGGTCCTGCTGGCGCTCGTTAACGGAGGGGTCTTGCCGGGCGCCCCCCCATACAAATACCAGGGGCATTGGGGCGACATCGTAGGGTTTCTTTTTGGACCGATCATACTATTGCAGATGGAAACTAGTAACTAGTGTTTGGCAATATACCTACACTGATCACAACCATGCCTTGGGCACTGCCCCCACTCACTAAGAGCTGGATAGTATCAATCACATAGTTACACGCAGCCCTTAATATGACACCGAATATGGACTGTGGATCCAGACCATGCCATAGATCTTTCGAGGTCTCCGGGGCCTCGACGCCGCACCTGACGAAGGTGGCCTCCGCCTTCGCACGCGCGCGGCTCGCGGACCGGCGCCTGTTTCCGCGGATGGCGCAGGGCGCGCTGAAGCAGTTTCTCAAATTGACGGGATGTGTGCAGTGAAGTGCATAGTTTGCCGGTAGGCTGTAGCAGGATGTGATGTAGAGCGGGCGCGGAGGCAGCACATGTAGCAGGTAGCACCTTTCTTGAAGCTGACGGATTCGCAATACAAAAAGCGTATATAGAAGAGTTCAGACAAAGCGTCCTCCTGAGCGTTTCCAACTACATAGGATAGAGTCTTTCATGGTGTGTCAGTAGCACGGTATAGTCTTTTCATGGATCTTCGCCAAAAGACTCCGAGGCTTCATGTCTTCAAGCCGCATGACCTCTCGGCCTTCCTCTCGTCCTATGCAGCTGTGGGCCTTTGCCATGAGCCACTTTTGGCAGCTTCCGCCAAGGTAGTGTTGTGCCAAAGTGGGGTTTCCTAAAATTGGGGATAGGGTTTAGGGTTTAGGGCTTTCTTAAAATTGGGGATACCATATTGGGTGTCCACTTACTTACTTCGGGAGACTACCAAGAGAAGATCCTTGTTTTGGAGCTCCTGCAGCAAGGACTCCAATGTGCTGGGGGTTGAACTACTTTCTTTAGCTTAATCATGGTACGTTGTTCTGGGTGGGGATCTATACGATCATTCTGTAGTTCAGAATCTCCCTAGAAACCCAAGTATAAGAAATAATACCTACACTTGGGTTGTTTGGATCCTTAGGGTCAGGATTGCATTTTTTGAGACGGTTGGGGCAAGGGCGGGTTTGTTTTGATGATGAGCCTTCCACCAGACAGTGGCTCTTTTAGCTTAGGTTTTTATCATAACAAAGCCTCGGAAATAACTTCGAATCGGGTCCCAAGCCCCTAAATATGGTATAAAGTAGGGCTTCTATACTAGCAGTTAGTGATATGGTTCGGGTTACAATCCCCTACATAGGTGCTTAGGATCCCTATACCAAAAAAACACCTATACCTTGTTGGACATCTTCGAGGTCTTGGTGGCCTTCGGCCCTCGGCTTTCTGCGTTGGACCTAGCTCTGGTAGCATTCTCCTACGCCCAGTTCTTCCTGGTGTTTCCAAATGTTACTGAAGCTCGGTGCTTAGTAGTCTTAGTTTGAAGAAGTGCGTAAGAGGAGTATTTTCTTTAGGTATACTAAGGTCATACAGAGTGCGGTGACGTCCTCCTTTTGGTTGGCTATAGTCTTTCAGAACAGGAACCCATTTTATTTTGCGCTACCATTACAATGAAAATAAGGCTACTCATTTGGGAGTTACCAGGCATTGTAAGTATTTGTTCTAGTCCCGGCTGAACACTTGAAGAGCCACCCTTCAAAGCCCCGCGTTACATGCAGAGCAGGTAGGCCCGCTTCCTTTTTCATCGTTTGGTTGCAAGATAACCCCACAAGGAGTAGGAGTTGCTATCAAATGGCAAGGCCTTATCTGGTTTTGTAGATCCTTGGAAAGCAAGTGCTACTTTAACCAGCTACCTAATCAGAGTACATGGTGCAGAGCAGTACACACCCCAAACCCTAAACCCACCGAAGGAAATGCTCCGGACGCAGCTTCCTAACAGTGCGCATGAGCTTCCCCTGGATCGGCCGGCTGGTGGCTAAAAGCTCTCTGTGAAGGGTCACGCAGACTTTGTAAGTATGCCTGCAACCCTTGCATGCCATAATAAACGCACCGCAGGTATCCCCGGCCTAGCTTTTAGCATTTATAGTTCCCCTTAAGTAGATAGAATATAGGGTTTATGGGGATCTTATTATAATGTACCCAAAGCCATACTCCATCTACTTGAGGGGTTATATAAGCTTATGAACTCCCCAGACCTGCCAAGCAGACCCCAAGAATTTACATCTACGGGACATCGGCAGAAAATGTAACAGAACCCCGAACTCAATGCCCTACTTGGAGTTTCAGCGCAATTCCAACCCATTTGTAATTAGTATTTTTAATGCAGCTACAACAATAGGGGGCTTGGGGGGCTGATAACTGGTTTATAACTATAGTTATAGGCCCTCCCTAAGATTAAATGCCCCCCTCCCCCCCCTCCGCTTGTGATTTTCAAGTTTAGTCGGGCCCCGTGAAGATGAGCGCCCCGAACAGCAATGGCGATAAAAGTGGGGACTATACAGAAGAAGAGGCCCCGGCTGCAAGCCCAATTACCTACAGCTTTATAGTTTATACCTATAGGTACTTGGGGTTACATGTAAACCTATGAAGAGGCTGGCTGAGCTGACTGTTTCTTGCGCGCGGCTGGACGTAAAGTCGGCAGAGCTTCTGGCAGTGCTCGCGCGGAATCTGCAGCGGCTGGTCTTTTGTTAGCCGCCTCCCCGTTATAGTGAACCCCCCACCCCGCAACAATGAATACCTTCAAAATAGTACTGGTGTATATATATATACATATATATGTGTGTGTATGTTAGGGAGAGTATTTATGATTGGGGATCAGGGGGTTGGGGGTTTTGTTATCAGGACGACAGCGCTGACTCAGTAATCAAAACTATACCTGCGGCTGCATTGTTCTCATCAATGTATGTAAACATGTTTTCTGAAATGCACGCCTTGAAGGTTGAAGCCCACAGTTGCCATACTCGCCAGTAATTCGGGTGTGTATGCTCGCGCCACAGAATGTCTGCAACATGCCTTCATGACCCCTCTACCATGACTTTACGCCCCATAACCCCTTAACCCTCGATCTACGAAGCCTGGATTCCAAACTCCCAAAGATCGTGCCTCGAGCCCTTAAACCTGGAGCCTGGACCATACTTGGAGGATCTCTTGACGCAGTAAGTCTACTTAGTAACTGGGATTATCGGGCTCAATATTGGGGATAGTAGGTAGGCTTACTAAGTCAACAAATATTCAAGGAATACATGGGAGGATTTTGGTGTACCCAACAGGTCCCCCAAATTAGGACCTTTTGTTCGGCAACTATGTGGGTTGGGTTACCCAAATCATGTTATTAGCAAGTTCTTGGCGTTAGACGGGTCTAAGGTTTGGGACCCTCAGTGACGAGCTATTCGGCCAGGCGACGAAAAGTGGTTCAACAAAGGGGTCCAGCGGCTTCTGGGTTGACTTGCTGCTCGTTAGAAGGGAATGAAGGGAATTGAACAAATGCAAACTACTGTATTGTTGGGGGCTCTATAAGCGCTTCTGGGTTTAGGGTCGGGGTTCCCCCTAGGCCCTAGTACGGGGATTGGAGTCGTAAGCTTTGGGGGCTATCCGCAGGCGTTTTGGGCTTAGACTCTTGGGTGATCATGCAATAGCGTCATTCAAATTTGAGTGGTCAGACCACATGGAGGGTGGCTTAGTGGCTTAGTGCCCGATAGTAAAGGGGATGGGGTTGGGTTCATGGCCCAGGAGACACTTGGGCTTCCTGGGCACTGCAGCTCCTGCCCGAGATTTTGGGGAAGCTCTAAAAGTGAGGATTCCACGACTGGGGCATCAGTTTGGGGATCGTGGGAGCATGTCATGCTCATAGGGGCACCTCGGATACAAGTAGTGGCGGTATTCGACGCCATTGCCAAATCTTCTGGTAGCTTCCGGAAACAGGAGCCCCAAATAGCTCCCAAAAGGCTAGAACTAGAATCCTCATTATAGGTACCCCCACAATGGTATTCCTAATTTTGGAACAAGTTCGAGACGCTGCCAGGTCTCGAAGTCGGCGTCCTTGCTTGGCTTGGCTGCTTCACCACGCGCCCCTGGACGAGTGTAGAGTTTGCTAATTTGGCACTTTAGCCCGCCAAAGCAGCATGTAAAATTTAGGGATCATAATTAGTGGCGGAGCTCACGGTGTCACAGGTCTCAATCTTAGGTCACAGGTTGCGGGTTATGTTTGCCACAGGGTTAACCGTCTTTGGCTTTGTGATGAGTCTTCTGGACAGGGCCTCCCTATAGTCCCCTTTAAGATGATAGAATATGGCTTCGGGTATAATTATCATAAGATCCCCTAAACCCTAAACCCTAAACCCTAAACCCTAAACCCTAGCCTAAACCCTAAACCCTAAACCTACTTAAGGGGGACTATCAACCCTATAAGCCTACAAGGTGAGGTTACAGATGGCCACCGAGTGCCAAAGGAGGCTTCAGCCTCCTTTGGCAGGCTCCCCGGAGCAAGGCCAGTGGCCAAACAGATTAGGGGTACCCTTTTGGTTTAGGGTTTTGGGTTTAGGGTTTAGGGTTTTTGGGGGTCCCCATATTAGGGATTATGGTATATTGGGGTCTACATTAGGGTCCCCTTATTTTGGGAAATTACAATTACACTTGAGGTCCCCATGAGCTATAGTCTAAACTCTTTGAAGGGGGTTAGAGAAGGGATTATATAGGGGACTACTGTAGGGGTTATTAAGGGGGATAAGATTATCTAAGGACTTTCCTAATAGGGACCCCTGTAGCTTATGGGGATGAATATGGGGACATCCTAGGGATATAGGGGTTATATATTGATTATAGAAGGGTTATATATGGGAATGGGATTTAGGGTCCCTATTAGAGGTCCCTCCTAAAGTCCCTAGAGATTACACGTGGGGTCCCCATAGATGGTCCCTTGAAAGGGCTATATTGCAGTGTGACACGCAGTGTGCGCAAAGTTGCGCGTGTGAAAGTGTAGAAGTCTCAGGATCTTAGGGCTTAGGGCTTAGAACTTCGGGTTTAGACCAGAGATTAAAGGGGCTACGTTTAGAGTGTTCCGATACAAAAAGGAGTAAAACATGTGGGTCCATAATATCAGGAAGGCCCCTCCTAAATGAAGCTCCCAGGTGGGTGTTTCTCAAAACTGCCCCTAGACGCATCCTTGGCAGCAGCAGGTCATTCTCCATTATTCCAATCCCTTTACCTTCCGAGCGCTAATCTATGTATGACCCCTATACACATACACGCATACATATATGACACACACATATATATGTATGTAAATGTGATATGTGTGTGCATGTATGTATGTATGTATGTATGTATGTATGTATGTGTTAAAAATACACTTTCCTGTGATCACTTAGGTGAGTCATGACATGCCAACTTATGTTGGCTCAAGACTTGATCGCGCCTGCGG